CTGAATTGCTGGGATTACAGACTTGTAGCACCATACCTGGCCACCTTATTTCTTTTTAATCTCTATTTTACTTTGAATGTTTATTAGGAATGAATGTTGAATTTTTAAATGCCTTTTAGGTTTCTATTGACATATGATGTGAGTTTTATGCTTTAATTGGTTCATTTCAAATTATGCTCATAAACTTCCTATATTGAATCATTTTTGCATTTCTGAAATAAACCCGATTGGTCATGGTGTTTTATCTTTGCCACAGTGCTAGATTCAATATATTAATATTTTATTTGGAATTTCTATGTGCATACTATATGCAAATACTATCTAGTTTTTATATGCGGTCATATTTAAGGCTATGTTAGCCTTACAAAATAAACATGGGATCTTTTCATCTTTTTTCTATGGCCTGAGGACTGGTGCTAGCCTCTAAAGTGTTTGTTATCATCCACATGAAATAAATATAAAATTGAGAGGTTTGGAAAATTTTACGGCAATTTGACATAAGTCCAAACAGTAAACAGTATCAATGAATAATATATTCTTTTGCAATTATTTTCCTTGTTCCTATGTAAATACGTTCTTATTATATTTAATGAAATGTAATGTCTGAGAATTCTAAAATTTCAAAAACTGGAAAAAATGAACTGGCACTTTACATTTTCTTATTATTTAATTTTACAAAAATATATGTCCACCATAATAAGAGTTTTTTAAACTTATTCTACACTACAGATACTTTGCTAGTATGGAATAAATGGCACTGAAATGACTTGCTTTTGAAACACTGGCTTGAACTGCTGGGTGCTGTGGCACAGGCACACCTTTAATCCCATCAACTCCAGAGACTGAGGCAAGATGACCACGAGTTCTAGGCCAGGCTCAGAAATTAAGCAAGGCCCTAAGCAACTTAGTGAGACTGTCTCAAAATAAAACATAAAATTCGGGGGGTGGGGTGGGCTGGGGATATGGTTCAGCACTCACTGTGTTCCATCCCCAGTACCAAAGGAAAAAAATTACCTTGAACTTAGATGCACAACCAAGTGGATCTGGTGATTTTCCCATTCTTTTCTAGGGTTATTGCTCTCTTCAGGTTTTTCTACTTGGGTCAGCTTTGGTAGTTTATAGTTTGCTACAGAATCATTCCTTCTGTATACGTATTCACATTTTTTACACAGGATAGTCTCTTAAAATTCTTTAGATATCATGTATCTGCACTTTTTGTCATTTGATGAATATTTGTGCTTTTTAAATCTATTTTCACATTATTAATATTTTGTCTCCTTTTCCCCTCCCGTCCTCATTTTCAACTCTCCTATCTTAGTCGGGCTAGCTATGAGTTTATTTATTGGTCCCTTCAAAAATAGGTTTGGGGGCTGGGGTTATGGCCCTGTGGCAGAGCGCTCACCTGGCACATGCAAGGCCCTGGGTTCAATCCTCAGCACCACATAAAAATAAATAAAATAAAATAAAATAAAGGTATTGTGTAAATCTACAACTTAAAAAAAAAAAAGGCAAGGTTTATGGGGATGGGGGATTGTCCAGCCCCGGGACTGCGTCTTAGCTGACACGGAGTCCCGGATTTGGGGTCATTCAGGCGAAGGAAAGGCGTGGCGGAGAGTTCAGCCGACTCCAAGAGGCCAAGAACTGCCGGGCCGGAACTAGGGTTTTCCGGGCTTGGGAAGCCGCAGCGGGCTCCATCTTCCAGCCTCGCCTTCCCGGATGCCATCTCCTCCTCCTTTGTCACCGCCTCCTGCTGGATCTGCGGTGCCTGGCCCCTCCTGGATCCGCTCCAGCCGCGGCAGCCGCTGCTGCTCGGTTCAAGCTCTTGCACCAGATGTTCAAGCGAGAAATCAGGCAGTACACAGTGGTACACAGCCTCAGGACTTCAGCTGGATGCATAGCTAGAAAGGTGGCTTTCACAGGATCCGTTAACAAAAAGACTCCAGAGCTATTATCACACTCCCATACAGGACATACTTACTGTGTGTGGCTCTTGTTACTGGTGCTTGCAGCCTGTGTTCCCTGTCAATGGGCACTTTCCCTGTGACCTTCTTATCAATCAAAGGATTTATGGAGAACTGAAGATGAACAGTATTGATATACATTGGACATACATTATTAAAACCATACCATGTCATTAAGATGGAAACCCTTTTTTCTGTACTAGCTGGAAAACGGAGAGAATCAAAAAAGAATAATTTAGAAAACTCTATAGGAAATACTTAGTGCAGGACTGTTAATAGAAATATGATGTGAGCCATAAACATAACCTACATGTATAATTTTTTAAAAAATATTTTTAGTTGCCAATTGACCTTTATTTTATTTATTTATATGTGGTGTTGAAAATCGAACCCAGTGCCTCACACATGCCAGGCAAACATGTATAATTTTAAGTGCTCTAGTAGCCACATTTTTTAAAAAGTTAAGCAAAACACACACACACACACACACACACAATATGTACCACACATATACACAAAATGTCATAATTATTTGATCTAAAATGATGAGGTATTTTACATTTTTTATTCTAAAACCTTGAAATCTTGTATATACTTATATTTCCAGCACAATTCCTATCATATTAGATGCATTTCAAGTAAGAACTGCAAATATCCAGATGTGGTGGCTCAGGCCTGTATCCCCAGTGACTGGGAGGCTGATGCAAGAGGATCCCACCTTCAAAGCCAGCCTTAGCAATTTAGTGAGACCCTATCTCAAAATAAAAATAAGAACAGCTGGATATGTAGCTCAGTGGGTAAGTGTCCCTGGGTTCAATCCTGCAGTACCAAAACACAACAAACAACAAACAAAAATAAAACAAAAAACATGCACAGCAGTTTCTTCTGTTCTTGTCATTGAGGCAAAATGTTTTGAAGAATTACTCTACTGTGTCTCAGGAGAGATTTATAAATCCATTGGCTATCTAGATAAAGCATGTAGGAGTACTACAGAACAATTGGACCACATCTAGTTTTGCAATTACTTGAAGAAATACCATAATAAAATATGTGATGTATATGCTATATGTGATGTAAATGCTATTATGGAACTCCATAATATTGAAATGATTATGAGCTTTTCTTTTTTGATTTATGTTCAGTCATGCCAGTGTAGAAATAGGCAGGAATACCCAGTGAGTAGAGCAGCTGGAGCACTTTTCCACCATTAAAGCTCTGGATCTTCAGGAATGCTACTGTGTATCCTCATCCGTTGTCCATGAACCCAGCCCAGCCCTGTCCTTCCTGAAATACTGTCCCTGATTTTGGGAAACTCAAACTAACAGAATGTCCTCATTTTCTAGAAGGAGTAGCCCTTTTAAATTTTCAATTCGTTAAAAATGGCTATCTTGTTTAGGGCACTAGAAGGAAATAGTTTGATTTCGAGTTTCCACCATGGCAGGCAGCCCTTTGAATGCTACTTGTTTTTGCATAATATATCATTTAACAGATCCTAAATGTTCACGCTAAACATTTATGCATATATATTCTACTTGCAGAACAATTTTGCAAATTGCACACTGACAAAAAATGTAGAAGTTTTAATAGATTGAGTTTACTTTTTTTTTTTTAAAAACAGCATCTCACTAAGTTTCCCAAGCTGGCTTCAAACTCAAAACCCTCCCACCTCCCTCCCAAATACCTGGGATTACAGACATGAGTCACCACACCTGGCTTGAATTTATTTATATTTTAAAGGTAGATTTGGGGGTTTGGCTTTAACAATTTTTTTAATTTAATTTAATTTTTTTTTAAAGAGAGAGAGAATTTTAATATTTATTTTTTTAGTTTTCCCGGGCGGCACGCATGCCAGGCGAGCGCGCTATACCACTTGAGCCACATCCCAGCCCTTTTTTTTTTTATTTTTGAGGCAGACACAGAGAGGTGCCACTCAAGTCTCACTGTTCAGTTGCAAGAAGTGTGGTTAGTCGTTAGTGCCATAAGTTGCTTTGTTTTTTGATGCCCAAGGTTAATGAAGGAGCAAGGGGAGGCACTGGTATGTAGCCTTTTTCTGCTTAATGCAGAACTCTTTTGTTGGATAATCTTTGCTCCAGATAGGCTGCCAGAGACTATCAGGTCTGCATTGCAATCTTGTAACTCTCCCCTCTCTTGTTTTTCACAAATATTACTCTTTAAAAAAAATATTTATTTTTTAGTTGTAATTGGACACAATACCTTTATTTTACTTATTTATTTTTATGTGGTGCTGAGGATTGAACCCAGGGCCTCGCATATGCTAGGCAAGTGCTCTACCACTGAGCCACAACCCCAGCCCTACAAATATTACTCTTCTATAAATCTTTTTTATCTTAACAATTCACTGTTTCCCAGAGAACCCAACCTGTGACAAGTTTCTAATTCAGAAATTTTGTGTTCTATCTTTCATTAATTCCCTGTTTATATTTTCTTTTTTTTTTAATGTTTATTTTTTAGTTTGGGGTGGATATAACATCTTTATTTTTATGTGGTGCTGAGGATTGAACCCAGCGCCATGCCAGGCGAGCACATTACCACTTGAGCCACCTCCCCAGCCCTATATTTTCTTTTTTTTAATATTTATTTTTTAGTTGTAGTTGGACACAATATCTTTATTTTATTTATTTATTTTTTTATGTGGTGCTGAGGATCGAACTCAGGGCCCCGCACGTGCTAGGCGAGTGCTCTACTGCTGAGCCACAATCCCAGCCTCCCTGTTTATATTTTCTTTTGGATGATTTTTTAAAAAAAATACTTAGTTTACATATTTTCATTGTTTTCTTTTCATATAACAAAAGCATATGCTACAATAAGGCATTGCAAACTGCTAGATTTAAATGCTTTTAGGACAGTCACTACTTTCCAATTCCCCACAGACCCTGCATCTTCCAAGTTTTTCATCTAGCCACTGCCTATATCTGCATCACCTACATAGGTCCTGAACACATTTGTGATTTCTGATTTAAAGCTATGCATTTTCTTCTAAAGAAAACCTTAGCTCTGATCATGCGGCCAGCTGTCAAGATGGCACCACAGAAAGACAAGAGAACCACCTGGAAGTTTAATTTGGACCTTACTCATCCCATAGAAGATGGGATTTTTGATTTTGGAAATTTTGAACAGTTTCTGTGGGAGAAGGTTAAAGTCAATGGGAAAACTGGAAATCTTGGGAATGTTGTTCACATTGAACGCTTCAATTATAAAATCACAGTTGTTTCTGAGAAACAGTTCTCTAAGAGGTATTTGAAATATCTTACCAAGAAATACCTTAAGAAGAATAATCTTTGTGGTTGGCTTCATGTGATTGCATCTGACAAGAAAATTTAACAAACTTCATTATTTCCAGATTAGTCAAGATGAAAATGGATCAGAGTCTGAGGACTAACTGGGCTCCCTTTTAAGGGCTTTACTTTTTAATAAAACAAATGAAGTGTACATGAAAAAGAAACATCTAAAGAGGGACTATCAGTGAATAAAAAAAAAATTGTTCTCAAAAAACCTTAAGTGCCAGGCACAGTAATGCACAACTATAATATAAATCAGGATGCTGAGGCAGGAGGATTTCAAGTTCAAGGCCAGTGACTTAGCAAGACCCTATCTCAATATATAGCAAGAGAATGAGAGAGAGAGAGAGAGAGAGAGAGAGAGAGAGAGAGAGAGAGAGAG